ATAATTTAGGTCTAGCAGTTCTAATAGCATGCTAGAGTCTACGTGAGAAGACCAACATAGGGAAAGATGACACTGAAGTCCCACGTCTCGGCAGATCACTTCGTATCTTGCAGGAAAGCTTGCTTTGTGCCCCCAGTCACAGCAGGTGAATTTGGTAGTTCCCCTATACCTGGAAGACCTCCCCCTGCAGAATCTTGCACAGCACGCCCGCCCTCCCCTGTCAGAGGGAGACAGCTGGTCCACAGTACTCTGCTCAGCTTTGAGGGTTGTGGGGCTCTGAGAGCAAACAGCAAAGTGTGAGAAGCCACAGAATATGGCATTTAGGAGCTGGACTTCCAAACTTGAAACTGCCTGGGTTAGAATCCTGGCTCTTCCACCTGGCCACCTGAACTCAGGCAAATTGCTTCACTTCTCTGCGTCTCAGTTTCCTCAATTGGGAAATGAGGCTAATGAGAGCGCCATTAGCTTTGCTGTGAGGAGTGGGTGGTGACTGCCTCCGCACCCAGCAGTGTTCAGTGCACGTCAGCTCTTACTGACCACACTCCGGGCTCCAGGGCCCGGAAACCAGGTTCTCCTCTCTCCACCATTCATTAGCGGTGGCCCTTAAATAGCCATTTAACTTCTCAGATCTCCATTCGCAATCTCTGCAAAACAGGACAACAAGGCCTTCCTTACCTGCTTCTCTGCAGAGAGCTGGGCTCCTCCAATGAGTTTCTCTGAAATTAAATATCCACCTAACACGACCCCAAGAGGGGACAGTCCTACCTAAAGAGCTCGTTAAGGAACAAAAATATAAAGGAACAACAAATAATTTTTAAAGCCTCGTTTGGTTCAAATTATTTAAAACATGAAAACAAACCAGTAACAAAGTATTTTGCTCTTTAAATAGTAAGTGACCAGCAGCCCTCCATCAAACACTATTCACCCTGATGACAAGGTGCATATTAATTGATAATAATATAGGCAGACCACTGTCTCCCATCTCTTCCCACCCTTTCTGGCCATCAAATGTGTGGGAAATAATATATATTTCTTTACATTAGAATTGCACATTTGATGGTGCCAAGGGTTCCAAGCCATGGATTCCCACACAAGCAAGTTTACTTCTTTCTGTCTCCAGCCTGCCTCTTATATTCCTCTGGCTTCAAAATGAAAGGCTCTGCAAGAGAGAGCAGGGCTGGATCATTGCAAATTCTATCTCCAGATAAAATAAAATAAAACAATCAAAAACACATGTCCTCTGGTGGAGCCTGGTGGTTTCTGCATCTCATTACTGCACACAAGTAATAAGTGAGTGGAGGACATTTCAGCAGAGGGCCCTGGGTATTCTTCCTCCGGAGGAATGGTTTAGAGGCCGAAGTGCTAAGGTGCCTGGCATCTCCTTGCTCCTTGCTCCCAGAATTAGCCCTGTGCAGCTGTGATACAAGCCATTGGCCTGGCAGGGGATAGTTATTGTAATGTGGATAGGGGAAGTGTCACAGACCCTATCTGATAGAAAGGGAAGCTCACTGAGAACTTTGATTAGAGTCTTTTCACTGGTGCACCAGTGGCCTGAGAAGAGGACATATTTGGGGAATCCTGACTCCTTGTCCAACAGACTGTGTGGCCCTGGGCAGTTGTCACCTCAACAACCTCTGGCTTCCTTTCTGGACATGCTAGGGCTGGGAGTACGCATCCTCTCTGTAGGATGGGGGTAAAAATTCCAGAAGATCTGTAGATCTGCCTAGAAAGGGGAGTGTTTATCATGATTGGGGATAGGTTGATGATTAAAGGAGCCCCAAGTCTCACTGATTTACAGAACGCTACGTCTTCTATCCCAGGTACCCCAAGCTGTCCGTGAAACACCGGGAGTCCAACACAGCAGGCATCGACATCTTCTCCAAGTTCTCTGCCTACATCAAAAACACCAAGCAGCAAAATAATGCTGGTGAGTGACTCCCTTGCACTGGGAGACCCTGCCCAAGGCATCTTGAGTTTGTCCATGGGCATAACAGATGCTGGGTCCGTAGAAGCCTCTGGAACCAGTGCTACTTGTCATTTGCCCACCTGTGTTCCCCTTGATATAGGGAAGGATCTGCTCCCTGTCTATGCAGGAGGAATGGCCAGTGGGTCTTATTGTGGCATCCAAGGGAGGGATGCTGTTTGCTTCTGAGGCTGCCTTACTGCGCAGCATAACCAACTGCACATAACCGTCCATCTTCCCTGATTCTCGACCCTACCTGTAACCACATGAGAACAACACACTCCTGCTTCCTTCTGGTCCCAGGGGTTGTCTAGAGGCTGTGGGAGGGACAGCACAGTCACCACTGTGGCAGATGCCCAGCTCTGCTTTTTTCCCACTGTAAGAACAGAGGATGCAGTTGGTATTGTTATTAATGCCATTTGAAGGGAACCTTCTGATGCTTGAAGGACTGGGTCAGGTCCTGTGAGGAAAAGAAGAAGGATAAGAGAATTCCTTTGCCCCTGGAATGGGAGGATGAGACCACCTTACAGGCTGGACCCTGGAGCCCAGCACAGAACCAGGCAGAGTAAGAGCTTTGTGAATGAACAAATGAATGATGCGCCATGGACTAAAGCAAGGGGGTTGGGTATGCTAGATGCTCCAGAAGCTCCAGGGGAAAGGAACCTCTTTGGACTTACAAGAACTGGGAAGGGCAGCCACACAGGAGGTGAAGGAGAAGAAACTTTGGCCCAAGCAGAGCAGGTGTGGTTGGGAGTTGTAATGCAGGAATGGCAACAGAGGATCCGGGCTGCACCAAGTGCAGATCTAGACTCTGGGTTTGAAGAAGAAAAAGACACTCCTTAGTCTTCAGTGCTTTAGCTGGGGCAGGGAGAAAGGCTTCAATTTGCAAAAGAGCCAAATAAAAAGACAAGCAGTAAAGGAGGGCTTCATGGACGAGCTGACTAACTGCCAAGCGAAAGCAAAAAATAAATCGCATCAAAGGTGTTCGGGGCAGGAAGAATTCACCTTAGAGTTCTTTGAGAAAGTTCTTGAAGGAGTCTCAGAATTAATTGGCTAAGATCATAGAGTGGAAGATGTGGGGAGGGTAAGAAAACAACGTTAGGGACTGAGACTGGGAAAAGTGGCCGGACCTGTAGCATCGGCCTAGGGGCCTTAGATTTTATCATGTGGGTAATGGCAGCCATGAGAGGTGTGGGAGGGGTGCTAGAAGTGAGTGGCTTTGTGGGGGGGGACCACAAGGAGCAAGCATGTGGGAGATATGGTAAATCTATGCAGTGCTCTTTCTTCACTACCGTGCAGACCCTGCAGCGTGTTGAGTAGCGTCTGCCCCAAATCCAGGCCCCCTGGGAGCTCGGAATGCAACTGTATTGGGAAATAGGGTCTTTGCAGACTTAGGGATCTGGAGATTAGATCATCTTGGATTTAGTGTGGTTCCTAAACCCGGTGACTGGTGCCCTCTTAAGAGCAGAAGGCGTGGAGGCAGGGAGAAGGCCACGGGAAGGCAGGGCGGAGGCTGGAGTGACACTGTCACAAGTCAAAGAGCACTAGCTCTCCGGAAGTGGGAAGGGCAAGGAAGGCCACCTGCTGACACCCGGATTTGGGACTTCTGTCTTTCAGAACTGTAAGGGGGGAAAAAATCTCTGTTGTTTTAATCCACTCAGTTTATGGTACTTTGTCACAGTAGCCCGTCAGAGCCTTCTTGGGGAAGTCAAGTTCATGCTGCTCTCCCAGTAGAGGACACAGAAGCAAATGAGAGGACCAGTGACTTGTCCCAGCGCTGGTGTTTGAACCCAGCTTTCAGATTCCACATCCAGTGTCCTGTCCTCTCAGCCACAAATATCTGCTTTCATACTTGTCAAAGTGCCCTGAGAAAGATTATCTCCCATTTGAGCCTACCAGATTTTTTAGATTATAAATGGCATTTACATATTATCCGTATTTACAATTCTCCTGTTCCCAAAGCCAAAGCAACAATTTCCACCAAACCCAGCATATCAATTTCTTATAAACTCAATACTCTCCAATTTTCATTGTTTCTCCTTCTTCTGTTTCACCCTGTTTTTCTCTGTAATGGGTTTTGCCCTGTGACTCCGTCTTCCCCTAACTCATTTGCACATTTCAAAGCTGCAGGATTTCTGCCTTCCCAAAGAGCCCGACCCCCAGATGTGCTGTTCCCTTCACCTTCCTTTTCTTGACACCACACATTCCTTCATTGAGGCTAGAACTCGCCCTCCTGCTCCCTTCTCTGTACTTGTCCTTTGCCCCAACCCTACCCCCAGATGTGGTCAGCTGGATCCAGTTCTCAGGCTGAGCAGGCCAGCGGCCACGGCTCCTGCAGGGCTGCCCCCTGCAGAGAGCAGCATGGCCCCCATGTTGGGGTCCATACCCGCTCTGCTCTGTCAGACTTCTGGGCCGGCAGCCTCTGCCATCTCTGCAGGAGCCTCAGCATTCAACTCCAGGCCCTCCTTGGCATGACTGCCTACTGTCCCTCACCATTTTTATCCCTGGATCTTCAAGTCCACCTTTGCCTCCGGCACGCTTTCTTGCATTTTCCTTCTTTTCTTTTCTCTTGAGCAGAACCTTCCCCCCACCATCTCGTCACTGATGCCCCAGCCCCTATACGCGCACTGGCTGTGGTTATGGGCTTTTCCTTCCCTTTGACAGGAAGGCATAACGTGGCAGCGGATCATCTCTCTATTCCCATGGGGGTTATAGGGCCTGCCAAGTAAAATTTCTCTATTGTTACACAGTCTCAGAAGTCCCCAGCTCCTGAATCCCTGACTCCCACCTTTCCCAATCTCAAGAGAATTGTCCATTAGTTTTTACATCTAGCCATTAGTTTATTCATTCGACAAGCACAGATTGCATGGAGTGATGACAAGTATGAATGTTTAAAGGGCTCATCTCGGGTGCCCGGCACTGTGCTGTGTCCTGGACACTGTGTGCGCTGACCACACACAGGGGCTGTATATTGCATAAACAGGCAGTTACTGGCCTGGGGTTGAGTCCCAGCCCTTCTAGCTGCCCAACTGTGCTCGTGAGATTTATTGTGTCCAAGCCCGTTTTTGCATCTGTAAAGTGGACTTAATAATACCTTCAGTTTCTTCATCTGCCAAATGAGGCGATTAATAGCATAGCCAAGGTTTTAAAGAACATTCATTTGTTTTATAAGTTGGTGCCTTTACCACAGTACCTGGGATAGCAACTGCTCATTGAATGTTAATTTTGATTATTGTGATTGTCGAGAGAATGGGACAAACATAAATATTGACATCAGAAACCGCTGCCTCAGCTCTCCCTCCCCTCCCCGCCCCGTCAGCACTTCCAAATCTCCCACACTTTAGTTTTTTTTGCTTTTTAAACTTTGTTTCCCAAGTCTCATCAAAGAGTGCTGGTGGATTGGGCTGGATCTCATCCCTCAGCATTGTCGCATTTCTCTTGGTTCCCAAGTCGTGGTTTTGCGCTCTGCTTTGTGGCCTCCTTCTTCTGTAATCACTAGATCCAAGTCCCCTCGGTCTGCTGTATCCAATCACTCCTCCGTGTCCCCCCACCCCCATCCTTTCCAAACTTTCTCTTCACGTAAACGTAGCCTGGATTTTCTCATGACTGGGTCAGAAGACCCCACATTTCGTCCGTTGCTACACGGACAGTTGCTTCGTTTTCTTGTCTCTTGAGATCTCCCACCCCAACCCTGGTTTTGGGGACAAGGACAAGTACTGTGTCTCTGAACTTGTGTTTCCTGTGGCTTAGAGGCAGGTGGCTTTGTGTGGTTCAGCTTGCAGACTCTGAAGCCCACTCTCTGGGTTCAGACCCCAGCTTTGCCTCTTGCTCTCCTTGTGGGATAGGGCAGGTATGCCTCGGTTTCTTTGTCTGTAAAATGGGAGCAGTAACTGTACATACCTCCTAGGTATACTGGGAGTCGTGCCCACCGCCGGGGTCAAGACCAGCTGGTGTTCTGAGCAGTTATCCAGGGCGGATGATTGTACCTCAGCAGAGAGTTCTGGGATAAAAATGTAGCTCGAGGGGTTATACATATCGGGACAATTAAGCCCGCGAGTGAGAAGAGGGCACCCTGAAGATCAGGCCCAAAGATCGCGCACACTCATGGGAGGGCAGGGAGAGGAAGCACAGAGGACCAGTGAGAGGACCAGTGAGAAGGACCAGCAAGGGGGGAGGAGGAGATCGGGGGTGGGTGACAGGAAGAGGATCGTGAAGGCGGTGAAGGAAAGCTTTGGAAAGATTAAGAGAGAGTGCTCCGTGAGAGAAGATGCTGCTTAGAAAGTCCAGAGAGCCCTTAGCCTGTGGTGTGCAGCTAAGGAGAAGTCCTGTTATCCTCTGACTGTTTTTCTCCTGTGCATCAGCCCGTTCCTCACACCCGAGAGAGCCTCAGCTGGTGGAGGACATAGGCCCTTCTCCCTCAGAGGGGGAGATGTACTGGGACTTCAGGAATGGGACTAGAACCCACGTGGAGGGGTGCTGTGCTGGAGAGGGAGGAGCAAGGGTGCAATGAGACTGGCTGGAGAGGCCCCTGCTCTGGGCCCTGTGCTTCACTTTTCCAGGCCTGCGGGGAGAAGCTGTGTCAGGGTTTAGTACTGGGGATAGTTTATAGAGTGCTGAAGCAGGAGTACTGGGGAGGGCACAAGCGCCGCTGTCCACCCTACTTTCGGTCCATCCCATATCATCCCTGTTGGTAAGTCAGCTCTGTCCTCACCCTGAACGGCTCCTTCTGCTCCCCATGTGATGAAGCCGGCCTCCACCTCCTCCATCTCTCTCTGCAAATAGTTCTGTGAAACAGCCCTCACCGGCTGCCAGCTCCATGCACCTTCCTCTGAGTTGCCACTGCACACACAGACTCCAGGACCCAGGATGGCAGCGGCCTGCCAGGTGCTCGGTGCCACTGTCCCCACTTCTAGTCCACACTGCCTCCCCTGTGGGGACACCGGTTTGGCTCCTGGGATTTGTCT